CCGTGTCACACCCACCTGCTACCATCCCAAAGGGATCTCATTCTTCTCATTGAGTATTTTGTTATTTTTATGTTGCTCAGCAGAAGGACTGAGGCTCTATAGCACAAAGACGTGTAAAAAGAAGATATTTTGGCAGTAGAGTCTTAGAATACTATGGGGCGTATTTGTTAAAAACATCACATAGCTGTTTGTCCATCAAAACTGCAAGTAAATTTGGTCTGTGGGAATGGGGCAAAATTCATTTTTTCCATGCTATATTCTCTGCAATTCAAATGTGTGAATGTGGAAAATACTGCATTATGACCACTGGATGGTGCGAGGAGCATCCTCATTTGCTGTGATAGCACCATCTAGCAGCTATAATACAGTATGGTGTTGGTGTTAGATGGTGTTGACTCTCATAGGAAGTAAGCATTCTCCTCAGTACTGTTTAGCGGCCATAATTCGCTATTTTTCACAAACACATTTGAGTTGCACATTCGCACAGAAATAATTTACATGCAGTTTTAATGTGCAACTTTGTTATAAATATACTTCTGAGTCCTAACCCTGTGGGAGTTCAGTGTCGGATGGTGATATCATTGAAGGAGTTTTTTCCCCCTTCGGTTTTGACCTGTTGATCCTGCCAGTAAGGAATTTCCCAAGTTAGTGCCAATGCTGTATGCACCTCTACACTCTAGGACCCAAGGGCTTGGTTGTGTACAGGTACATGTTTGTGTGATCAACCTATCACATAGCCTCTAGCTTCCATACTGCCACCAGTATGATGTGGATGCTCACAGCAAAAGATAGAGTACAGAATGGGAGAAACATGCATGACTTTCTTTGGCAGATAACACTAGTTTAAATATTAGCGCAATGCGCATTCTTACAGTATAGTGATGTATAAATGGAATCTTGTTTCTAAAGGTAAGTACCAGCAGGAAAGGGGGTCCTACTTCCAAGAGAACATGTCATTTTACCATTTGCCCTCCTTGAAGTGATACGTAAAATATGCAAAAGATACCCCTGTAGCTCCATGTGCAAAGACCTTACTGACTTTCTTCATTTTTGTCAAAAAAAGATTACTTTCATTCTGCTGCCTGTGATCACGGCCCTCAGGGTTAATTATCCGTTCTCAAGCTGTGGATGGAAAATTAAACTTTCCCTAAGTCCCAGGGAGCCAGCGCTGGCTAAAAAGGCTAGCCTCTGTCTGGTGTGTTAACCACAATCCCTTGTCTGCTAGAGCTCTGCCAGAAACATTAGGAGAGACGTCTCTCATCTAATGACTGCGATATATAACCTGCTGAGGAACTACGAGTCCTAACTAATGCAGCAAAGCTACAGAGAGACATGTAGCTCTTCAGCAGTGAGGTAGAATACCCAGGGTCTTTAAAATAAGACTCAATAAATAGATGTAAGCATAATCACTAATGTGTTATATAAGCTTTGACATGTTAGAATGTATGTCAGGGAAATGATCCGCCAGAAATGCACTCAGCTTTTAATTTCTTATGATGGGCTGACAACACCAACCATTTTTGTGGACTGAGTGGTGTCAGCCCTGCCCAGTTGTCTTTTGCTAAACTACTGAATGCCTCTTACTATCATCATCTCCAAAGCATGGGCACTAATTAACTTCTAGTCCAAGATAAAAACTGGGAGAGCTAAATAAACATTTTGAGACCACATAGCAGGAGAACACGGGACAGCTTTGATTTTCTGACAGCTCACCAGTTTTTGTTTGCACTTGTCAAGCTCATTGTTGGAGTGTACATACACTTTAATGTGATTTCAAAAGTCTTTTTCAATATTTCTTAATCAGCTTTGATTAAAATTATAATTGTTGATCCTGGCATAAAAGTTCCTGTGATCCAGGAACTGTCAAACCAAACATTCAGTGGTGCCCTCTTGCATCTCTCCCCCTTTCTCCAGCTCAGAAACAGGGGACTGAAATGAAAACACAATGTTATCGTTTGCCTGTAAACTACTCGTCTCTCTATTCTCCACGTAATGGAGGTAAAAAGGCAGACATATTCAGCCTGGGTGGCAACCTTGGTTCCTTCCATAGATACAGTTGAGGAATGACCGAAGACCCCCAGAGACAGCAAGTGTGTTATTCACAGTAGCTAAGTGGCTATCCCCTCCACCTAGCAGCACTAGGGTCAGTAGTTTGAATCCTAACCACAGCTTTCCCTTCCTGGAGTTTGCATGTTCTCCTTGTTTTTGTGTGGGTTTCCTCTGGGTACTCCGGTTTCCTCTTACACTGCAAAAACATGCTGGTAGGTTAATTGGCTCCTGTCTAAATTGGCCCTAGTATGTGTGAATGTGAGTTAGGGACCTTAGATTGTAAGCTCCTTGAGGGTTAGGGACTGATGTGAATGTACAATATATACTGTACTTTTCGCTCCATAAGACGCACCTAGATGTTAGAGGAGGAAAAGAAGAAAAAATAAATCTGAACCAATGGACTGCAGACACAATGGAGATGACCAGAGACACATAGTACAGGAGATGACCAGAGACTGCGGACATAGTACAGGAGATGACCAGAGACTGCGGACATAGTACAGGAGATGACCAGAGACTGCAGACTTAGTACAGGAGATGACCAGAGACTGCAGACATAGTACAGGAGATGACCAGAGACTGCAGACATAATACAGGAGATGACCAGAGACTGCGGACATAATACAGGAGATGACCAGAGACTGCGGACACAGTACAGGGAGATGACCAGAGACTGCGGACACAGTACAGGAGATGACCAGAGACTGCGGACACAGTACTGGAGATGAGATGACCAGAGATGCAGAGACTGCGGACACAGTACAGGAGATGACCAGAGACTGCGGACACAGTACAGGAGATGACCAGAGACTGTGGACACAGTACAGGAGATGGACCAGAGACTGTGGACACAGTACAGGAGATGACCAGAGACTGCGGACACAGTACAGGAGATGACCAGAGACTGCGGACACAGTACAGGAGATGACCAGAGACTGCGGACACAGTACAGGAGATGACCAGAGACTGCGGACACACTGGAGTGGCCAGAGACGGGTACGGGAGATGGCCAGAGACTGCGGACACAGTACGGGAGATGGCCAGAGACTGCGGACACAGTACGGGAGATGGCCAGAGACTGCGGACACACTACGGGAGATGGCCAGAGACTGCGGACACACTACAGGAGATGACCAGAGAGATGATGGCCAGAGAGGAGATGGCCAGAGACTGCGGACACAGTACAGGAGATGGCCAGAGACTGCCGACACAGTACAGGAGATGGCCAGAGACTGCCGACACACTACAGGAGATGGCCAGAGACTGCGGACCTTTGTGGAGGGGGGGGGGGGCGGGTATTTGACAGGTACCTGCTCCCACTTCTGTGGCGTTGTCCCCCCCCCCCATAGTCTTATGGGACACATGACAGGTCCCACAAGACTACGGGACCATTCACAAAGAGCAGCGCTTCTCGCGCATGTGCAGTGGATACCTGGCTGTGAAGCCGCAAGCTGTCACAGCCGGGTGCCCACACTGAAGATGCTGCCGCCAGGGAGAGAAGACAGCCGATGGAAGCAGGACACTGCTGGACTGAGGAACAGGTAGGATGGAGGAGCGGGTTCTTCTGCACAGTAGAGCCGAGTATTCTAACACGGTAGTGGCGGCGGCGGGAATACCGGGCTGGCCGCTCCATATTCACTCCATAAGACGCACAGACATTTTCCCCCATTTTTTTTTTTTTTTTTTTTCTGGTTTAGATACACTTAAAGTAGAGCTTTGTCAATGGCCAGACCTCACTATACCCAACCAACCTGCTGTTTGGAAATAAAGGACGAGAACACCTGTGAGGAAGCAAATAGATTGACATCACTATTAATTGCAGTAGAGTCTGATTGGCTCAGTACTGGCTCTCCCTCACTGGCCTGTTCTGCAGGGGATTACATGAAGCTAAACCAAAGGCAGATACTCATACTAGCAGTATTTAAAGATAAATGTAAACATTTTAGTATCTGCATGGATGGATTTGATAATCTTTTATTATCTGCCTGAAGTTCTTCTCTACGTAAGCACAGTTTTCTCTAGGAATGAAGCCTGGCCAGTGAGAGGTTAATGAACGGCCATTGATGTTGTTCCTCAATGTGTGAGACCGCCATTGCTTATCGTTGTGATGTTCAGGCTGAGTCACAGCTGCATGTGATGTGGTTTACAGTCTCTGCGGAGTAATACCCGGGATCACATTGCACTCATCACATGGAAACTGCTCTGCAGGACATAGATTTGACTTTAGAAGTTTCCTAAAGAGTAGACAAGGTTATAAAACTCTCATAGGGGCCTCAGATGGAATGTTCATTCTAGATCTTTTTTATTATTTCAGAATTGCTGCCATTCTTCCACAGGGATGTAGAGAAGTGGCCCTACTGAAAGATGGGAAATTAAAATTTGACAGTTGTCACTGAAACAGGAGGTTGCAGAAATCTTCCACTGGGGACACCTGTTCTGGCAAGTCTGGGAGATTTTCCCTCACTGTAGAGATATTTCCTCCCACTTCCTGTTACATATGCATGGCAGGAAATGAAAGGGGGATCTGCCCAATGGGACATAGCCAAAAAAAACTGACAGTGGTTTTATCCATACGGTACTCTATGCATTTCAGACAAGGTCCTTTTATTTAAAGTGGAGTTCCAGTTTTAAAAAAAAAAAATAAAATAAAAGTCAGCAGCTACAAAAACTGTAGCTATTTACTTTTAAAATACAGCCACTTACCTGTCCCTCGGTCCAGCAGTGTCCTCACCACCGCAGGTTTCACCAGCTGCCTTCTCTCCCCAGCATCTTTAGTGTGCGCACCCGGCTGTGACAGCTTGTGGCTTCACAGCTGGGTGCCCACTATACATGCACATGTAGCGCTACACTTTGTGAATGGCCTCGTAGTCTTCTGGGACCTGTCACACGTCCCGAAGACTATGGGGAAGGAGGGGAGGACGACAATGTCCAGTCGCTTTAGGCGATAGCAGTGGGAGTGGGTACCTGTCAAATTCAGGTACCCGCTCCCCAAAGGTGCCAATCCTTAATGGGGAGTAGGGGACAAAGGCTTAAAGCGGAACTTACCCTTTTGGGTGGAGCTCTGCTTAAATGTAATTCCTATTCCCCTTCCTAAATGCTTCACAAAAGGGCAAAAATGTATTAATGGAGGAAAAGTACTCACCTTTCCCTAACTATCATAGTGTGGGGAGTGACAACATCCTCTTCCAAACAGATCTCTGCGACAGTTTATTAGCCCAAATGCCAACTGTGCATGGCTGTCTTCGTGTAAGATTTGAAATACTTAACAAGACAAAGCTGGGCAAAGTCTGAGGCTGAATTTACACATAGTGCGGTGACTGGCATTTTACAGTGCACATGAAAAATTGTTGTTTTCTGTGTGTCCCATTCACACTGCAACATAGCTCAGAGCTGTGCTGCAGCGTGCTGTGATAAAATGCAGAAATGCTGCATTTTATTGTAGCTTACTGTACAGAATTGCACCCCGCTGTGCAGCGCATTGTGTTGATGTACAGTGACATGAATAAGGTGTACTTTTGTACACTTCAAATGAAGTTCAGTTAAAAAAAGGGGGGCTGTATGATGCACTGAATTGTGCACCGCACAACCCCCTATCTCAGTCAGAACAGAAAGCAGTCCATTGTGTGTGAATCCAGCCTGAATAGTTTGTTTTTTTTAGAAAGTATCCACAGCCCTAGTAGAAAAGCCAGTCCCCTGCCAGCATGCTGCAGAGAATGTTTCTTTCTGTATGAAAGCAGTGGTCTCTTTGCATAGGTCCAATATACCACCTGCTGAGTCAGACCCATAGCTGTACAATCAGCTTATGTTTCCTGCTGACAGGAGAGCTCTAGCTGTTACTTATCAGGGATGTATTGGATCTCTGTGGAGAGACCACTGCTTCTACACAGAAAGCAAGGGTCCTTTTCTGCAGCATGCTGGCAGGGACTGGCTTTTCTACTCTGGCTGTGTCCACTTTCTACAGAAAACAAACTTTGCACATCTTTCATTTTGATGAACTCGGAAGGTATTCAGCTGATTTTAACTGAAAGTTAATTTTTGTTTTAATAAAAGTACTTTGCCTTCATTAAATTAGGCTCTTATTAGATTCACAAAAGTGTGTGTTTGCTTTGGTATTTATTTTTTATTATTTTGCGTTGCTTTTTTTCCTGTTCTGCTTCCATTACAGTTGTCATTTCTTTTCTCCAGCCAGTGATGAACAATGACAAGCATTGCTTTGAATGTTATGGATATGACATCATAATAGATGACAGATTAAAGCCGTGGTTAATCGAGGTGAGTGAGTTCTACATTTTGTGCAACGGAGACCCTTGCAGTTCATTAAATGGGTGTTAGCATAGCCCTATTATTAATATTTGTACAGATTCATAAGGGTACATGTAGATATTAACAAATCAAATAAAGCTTGATTCACAAAGATTTGCAGAAGGATAAGGATCTTTATTTTTAGACACGTGACTGTAATTTTCAAATCTCTTTGGACTCCCCATCTCTGAATTCCTCAGTTTCAGCTTTGTAAATTGAGCCTCTAATCACCTCTTGCTTTGAATAAAACAACTGCACCAGCCCCCCCCCCCCCCCCCCGCTCTTTCATGTGAATTAACCACTTCAAGTCACACTTTTACCCCCTTCCTGTGCCAATTTTCAGCTTTCACACTTTGAATGTTGCACTTTTGCACTTTATTTGTACACTGGGACTGCACTAAAAGTTTTTTTAAAATGTATACTAGTTATTATATTTATTAATATATAAAAAAATGTTTGTCACGCCCTTTATGCACAGTCTGTATGGTATATTCAGGGTTAACATTGATATAAATTATAACTATATATGTATGTATGTATATTTGTGTTTTATATATACAGTTTTTTATATATATATTTTTTATATATATATATATATATATGCACATAAAGTATAGTTATAATGTATTGTCGTTTAGGAAGCATTCATACCTGAGCAATGCAGAATTGTTGGCAGAATTGCACAATTCTTGCCAATTCAATTCCAAATTGTGTTTAAAATACGCAGTGTGCTTTTGGGTGCCATTCATTGTTAATGGTACCCCCAAATGCTGTTAGCAGACATGCATTTGCTGCACATTTTGTCATTTGACAAATACGCAATCAACGCACCAAAATACATATTGAAAAAAACACACAACACTCCATACCCAAAAAAGGTTCAGTTTTGCTACTTGGGGCTTTTTTAATGCACGTTTTGGTGAAGTTTTTAACAAATTTTTTGCTGGTTTTTTTCAACGCAATTTTTTTTTAAAAATGTGAGCTGAAATTATTATGTGCATTTTGGTGCTTCTTAATGTTTTGGCTCCTTTTTTACCTCAGTTTTTGTGTGTTCTGGAAACGCATGCAAAATGCATGCCATGTTTGGCACCCAAAAGTAGCTAGCAGATGTGCAGTTTGCCAAAATATCCACAAAAACTAAATCAAAATTCCATCTTAACAATTGCCAAAATACATGCTAAGAAATTGCCATATTGTGTGTTAAAAACCACACCAAAATGCATGTTAAAATAACCTGTACCAAAATGTGCGTTAAAGTTCGTTTTTGCACTATTGCCACGTTTTTGATACATTTTGCAGGTTTTTTTTATTTCATTTTTTATTATTGTTCTTGTTGCTAGACAGATTTAAATTGCAAAAAGAAAAATGCGGCAAAAAGACACTACATGCTTTTCAGCAAGGTTTCCATTGAAGTTTATAGAACCAAAAAAACTTCAACTTTTTGTGTTTTTGTGTTAAAAAAAGTCCCTGACCGTTTTCAAAAAACGCTCCAGGTGAAAACACACAGATGTGAACATGTCCCATAGGAAATCATCTTAAATGGACTGTACTACGTTTCTGCAGAACACTGCAGTAAATGCTTAGGTGTGTTTAGAAAAGTGCCAAAATGCACATTAAAAAAACCCACATCAAAATGAGTTTAAAAAATACAGCATGTTAAAAAAGCGGCAAAATGAACGTAAATAATGCTAAAACACGCAATAAAAAGGAGCCAAAATACACATTTAAAGAATGTGGCAAAATGTACATTCAAAAATACTGTTGGTAAGTGCTTATTATTTTCATGTAATGGTTTTTTTAACTTTGGTTTCACTGTTTAAACTCAGGTGATCTGTAAATCACACAATTATTTCACAAGATCACATGTAGCCCTCCCCCTTCTACATAGATCTCAGCTGTTCTCAGAAGAAAAACTTCTCTCTTCTCCTTCTGAGACCAAATGTTCTCAGCTTCATAAACGGGGACAGAGGAGAAGATTTTTCCCTGAGAACTGAAATGAGATTATCTCTGCTTCTGCTTAATAAATGTACACCTTAGTGTTGATGCATTTACAGTTAGGTGCTGCAGAATATTTATTTTTCTTAATGGGAAGCAATAGTTCTTTTTTAAAACCCCTGTCAATCTATTTTTGTTTGCTTCTGTTTCGTTGGTGAGAATTGCCTTTCTTTTCATGTTGAAAATATGCACAAGAAGGTAAGAGGAAACCTCTACAAAGTAAGGGGATTTCCCCTCCTAGACTAGTGTCCCTTTTGGCAGGTTTACCCCACACCTCATGTTCTGGTGACAAAATCTTGGATTTCCATCATATTCTGGTTTGATAACAATAGTCCTCAGAATAAATAGAGGATGAATCTACCCAGTGGGCACACAGACAGCAATAAAAACTTTGACAGAGTTTCTAACCCTTCCCTACTACAGCCAAAAACAAAAATAGTTAGATTCCTTCATTTTATTGTTGCCTGCTGTGTACAACTCTCCTGCTTTCTTTTACTTTAATTTTACATACAAGATCAATATATGGAAATTCCTTTTACCTAGAAACCCACAAAGCTGTTGAGAGTTTTTGGTAAGCTTTTGTGTTCTTTCTGCATTAAAACAGGTCAATGCCTCTCCATCTCTAACATCCAGTACAGCCAATGACCGCATTTTGAAGTACAATCTCATCAACGACACTCTTAATATAGTTGTTCCGAGCGGGGAGATCCCAGACTGCAAGTGGAATAAAGTGCCCCCCAAAGAGGCTCTTGGAAGCTATGAAGTCTTGTAAGTTGTGATGGTCATACGGGGGATCATTATTGACCCTTGTTGGGCAAATAAAATGCTGCACCGTACACATAATATCATTAACCCTTTCATGGCCTCCTTCACCACTGTTCTATTCAATTCTATATACATAAGTTCTCGAAACTTCAGTGCATTTGTCGCATGTGAAGTTCCCACCCTTGCTATGGATCTGTCCGTTTTTAAGCAGGAGCCCCTGTTGGGGTAGCCTTATAAAGAAAGCAGGTGACAAGGTCAGTATTAGCAGATGTTGTGAGATTTTCGGGGGGTCTGATAAGAGACAAACGCTTTTCTCTTTCTGTAAATAGCAAAGCAGGCCAAAAATGGAATCTCAGCTGGAGGAGAGGATCACGGCTCCATCCCTCACTTTCAGGTCCTTAGGAGTTGGCCATATGACTGGCTGGATTGCGTGAGCTGCAGTTTTTTTCCATTAAATTATTTCAGGGGTTCTTTTTATGTAACTGAATTAAAGTCAGTAGGATGGGCAAGAGTGTGGGGCTGTTATTTTACTTTAGGTTCAGAATTTTAAAAAGCCCATGTTCTTTATAATCAGGTAAATAAGAAATGCTGAATATTACTTTTTTAAAATTACCACTTTCAGCTAGCAGCTAGTGTGCTGCATAGAAGCTCTTCTCTACAGCTGTTGTGTTAAAAAAAAATAGACCTATATAAAAGGTGCAATACGGTATGACCTAACTGTGGCTATACCACTGCTTAAAGTGGTTGTAAAGCTAGAAGTTTTTTTTTTTTTTTTTTTTTTTTTTTACCATATTCAAAAAGCCCTCACTTGACCCCACCAACCTGAACAATTTAAGACCCATCTCTTTGCTCCTGTTTACCTCTAAACTCTTAGGATGCTTAGTCTACAATCATCTGACAACAACCTTCTTGACCCCTTACAGTCTGGCTTTCGCTCACTA